CGCAGTGAAAATCGCTTCTGAAGTGAACCATCCTACAGAGTGCATTCAACACGAGCTACATAGTCCCATCACTAGGAGAGGAGAGTTCGATTCCTCCTGCGAGGTATGCAGCAGTCTGTGTAATCTGATCTTTCCTGCCCTTCAGGTCTGCTTCACAAAAGTCGCAGGTTTCACGCTGTAGAAAGCGGCTTTTCTTACAAGAAATTTATTGGCTGCTTAGAAGAAGTAATAAGAAGGAAATCATTCTGTTTATTAGGTTAAGAAGTCCAGAAATGCGAGAAGAGAGCGCAGAGCAAAGTGCAGCATGCTTCAATAATCGCCACGACTGAGCCGACAAAACATTGCGCTGCGTCTGCGGCACGATCGGTCCTGAATCTGGGTGGATGGTAAAGTCGCCACAGCATCCTCGTGGCTCAGAATGGCCCAAATGGACCAATTCTTCCAAGTGGGAGAGCCAAAGATGGATGGCAGTGCGACTTTTGGTGCAACTTCATAGATATCTGTGCGACTTCATGCTCTTGATTCACTTGAAGTCGCACAATTTCAAAGATGGATAGCAGTGCGACTTTTGGTGCGACTTCATAGATATCTGCGCAGGAGCGGACTGACAACTCACTCATGGGGCCCCCGGGCAATAGGAAATCATGGGGCCCCTGTGTCCTCGCCAACACTCAAACCACACCCAAAAAAAGCCTATGAAAAGTATCAGGGGCATCTCATGGGGCCCCTACTGACTTTGGGCCCTCGGGCAGTGCCCGAGAGCCCAAATGGTCAGTCCGCCCCTGCATCTGCGTGAAATCATGCGCATGATTCACTTGAAGTCGCACAATTTCAAAGATGGATAACAATGTGACTTTTGGTGCGACTTCATAGATATCTGTGCAACTTCATGCGCTTGATTCACTGGATTCAATTGAAGTCGCACAATTTCAAAGATGGATAACAGTGCGACTTTTGGTGCTACTTCATAGACGTCTATGCAAGTTGCACCACAAATTGGGAAAAGTAGCGCGGTGTCATTTCTGCCTGCTGCCTCCTTCCTCATCTATCACCATGAGTCACTTCTGATGGTTTTCCTGACACCAAGAGATATAAAGGTGACGGGGGAGGGTGCTCCAGCACACAGCCTGTGGTTGACAGCCTCAGCTTTGTCCTGAGTGCTGTGTGAAGGGAGAGGGGGGGGGGGTCCCTTCCCTCCAATCAGGTCTCCTAACTGATGTAACTTCAGCTCTCCTTCCCCTTTTTTACAAAGGGGACAAGCTTTATCAATTCTGCACTTTGGACAGCTGTAGAGGTGAGAGGGCGGCAGATAAAAAGGTACAACTTATGTAGGAGGATCTGTTTCATGTCTGTGTATCTCCTGAGGCTTGGAGGGTTTACAACCACTACGTTTATTTCCACCTTGGTAGTCACATTTGGACAACACATGCTCAGGGGGCGGACTGACAACTCATGGGGCCCCTGTGTCCTCGCCCACACTCAAACCACACCCAAAAAAGCCTATGAAAGGTTCCGGGGCATCTCATGGGGCCCCCTACTGACCCTGGGCCCTAGTGCCTGAATGGTCAGTCCGCCCCTGCACCTACTAAAGCAAGAGACTAGTCACACCGGGTGCGACTTAGCATGCCATGCGAGCTTCAAATCGCACAGCAAGTTGCACCCTGTTGCCCGCCATTAAAATGAATATTTGCAAAAAATTTTTTCTTTATGCCGCTTGAGTGTTCCCCCCCCCCCCCCCTCCCACCTCATGTGCGGGTTTAGTTTTTTTCTCCCAAATTCTTTCTTTTAACAAACATACAGTCGAGGAGCGATACAAAAATGTACAACTGAGTTCATAACAGTGTTGTCAGATTTTTATTTCTATTTTTTTTTTTCTAAATAAAAAAATAGAAGAGGGGAAGCCCCAACCTCTCCTCTCCTCTCCTCTCCTCTCCTCTCCTCTCCTCTCCTCTCCTCTCCTCTCCTCTCCTCTCTCTCCTCTCTCCTCTCCTCTCCTCTCCTCTCCTCTCCTCTCCTCTCCTCTCCTCTCCTCCTCTCCTCTCCTCTCCCTCTCCTCTCCTCTCCTCTCCTCTCCTCTCCTCTCCTCTCCTCTCCTCTCCTCTCCTCTCCTCTCTCTCCTCTCCTCCCGACTGATCTCATCCATCTTTAGAAAATCAGATTCTTTGCCATCTTTTGTCGTTGCCTTTTAGCGCCATCTGCTGTTCAGTTTAGATTCTTCACAACTTTTTTTTTCTTCCTAACAGACATACACTATATTGCCGAAAGTATTGTCCCCACCCTCCCAATCATGTGATTCAGGTGTTCCAAGCCCCTCCCAATCATGGGATTTAGGTGTTCTAAGCCCCTCCCAATCATATGATTCAGGTGTTCCCATCCCCTCCCAATCATGTGATTCAGGTGTTCCAATCCCCTCCCAATCATGTGATTCAGGTGCTCCAATCCCCTCCCAATCATGTGATTCAGGTGCTCCAATCCCCTCCCAATCATGTGATTCAGGTGCTCCAATCCCCTCCCAATCATGTGATTCAGGTGCTCCAATCATGTGATTCAGGTGTTCCAATCCCCTCCATATCATGTGATTCAGGTGTTCTAATCCCCTCCATGGACACAGGTGTATACAATCAAGCCCCTAGGCATGCAGACTGCTTCTACAAACATTGGTGAAAGAATGGGTCGCTCTCAGGAGCTCAGTGACTCCAAGCGTGGTCCCGTGATAGGTGGCCACCTGGGCAATAAGTCCATCCGTGACATTTCCTGGCTACTAAATATTCCACGCTCAACTGTTAGTGGGATTATAACAAAGTGGAAGCAACTGGGAACAACAGCCACTCAGCCACCAAGTGGTAGGCCACGTCACATGACAGGGCGGGGTCAGTGCATGCTGAAGCGCACAGTGCGCAGAAGTCGCCAACTGTCTGCAGAGTCAATAGCTAAAGACCTCCAAACTTGGTGTGGCCTTCAGATGAGCCCAACAACAGTGTGTAGAGAGCTTCATGGAATGGGTTTCCATGGCCGAGCAGCTGCATCCAAGCCTTCCATCACCAAGTGCAATGCAAAGCGTCGGATGCCGTGGTGTAAAGCACGCCGCCACTGGGCTCTAGAGCAGAGGAGGTGTGTTCCCTGGAGGGACCAATCACGCTTCTCTGTCTAGCAATCCGATGGACGTGTCTGAGTTTGGCGGTTGCCAGGAGAACGGTACTTGCCTGACTGCATTGTGCCAAGTGTAAAGTTTGGTGGAGGAGAGATTATTGTGTAGAGTTGTTTTTCAGGGGTTGGGCTTGGCCCCCTAGTTCCAGTGAAGGGAACTCTTAAGGCGACATTTTGGACAATTTCATGCTCCCAACTTTGTGGGAAGAGTTTGGGGATGGCCCCTTCCTGTTCCAACATGACTGCCCCCCAGTGCACAAAGCAAGGTGCATAAAGACATGGAGGAGCCAGTTTGGGGTGGAGGAACTTGACTGTCCTGCACAGAGTCCTGACCTCAACCCCATAGAACACCTTTGGGGTGAATTAGAGTGGAGACTGCGAGCCAGGCCTCCTCCCCCGACATCAGTGCCTGACCTGACAAATGTGCTTCTGGAAGAATGGTCCAACCTTCCCATAGACACCCTCCTAAACCTTGTGGACGGCCTTCCCAGAAGAGTTGAAGCTGTTAGAGCTGCAAAGGGCGGGGCCAACTCAATATTGAACTCTACGGACTAAGACTGGGGGGCCATTAAAGGTCATGTGTGTGGAAAGGGCGGGGCCAACTCAATATTGAACCCTACGGACTGAGACTGGGGGGCTATTAAAGGTCATGTGTGTGGAAAGGGCGGGGCCAACTCAATACTGAACCCTACGGACTGAGACTGGGGGGCTATTAAAGGTCATGTGTGTGGAAAGGGCGGGGCCAACTCAATATTGAACCCTACGGACTAAGACTGGGGGGCCATTAAAGGTCATGTGCGTGGAAAGGGCGGCGGCCCAATACTTGAGGCAATATAGTGTATGTGTCCACATTTCCAAGTAGATCCCTATCTCACAGCTCTCCCACCCCATATGTGCAACGCTCCCCATCCTGGGCACTTCTGTTGAAAATTCTACTGGGGGTACTAAGGGGACCGTCTATAAAAACAATAAAGTGCTGAGTTGGGGGGTTGCACCTTACAGGGGGGCCCTGATGTGGATTCATACAAGTATACAATACTGTGAAGGTTACAAGCAGATGCCAAGAAATGCTTCAAAAATATATATTTAATTGTTTATTTTTCTCATTTCACAAAATGCAAAGTGGGGGGAATAGAAGAAAAATCTAAATCAGATGAATATTTGGTGTGACCACCCGTTGGTATACAGCGGCATCGATTGTCACACTGGAGTCAGGGATTTTGTGGGATTAGAGTCAGGTGTATGATTAACCAAATACAGGCGTACCTCGGTTTATGAACGCCTCGGGTAACGTAATTCTCGGTTTACAAATGAAAATCCATTGAAAATAACGCCTCGGTCTACGAATTTTTTACGAATTTTGCTCGCAATACGAAGTGTATGTCGGAGCCGATTTTTAAATGCAACAACCGGCTTTTTTTTTTTTTTTCTTCACTATAGCTCACAGAATTAGCTGTCACTTTCCCCGGAGCTAAAGGAAACTTTGTTTCTTTCATCTCAGGGAACAAACTAAAAGGAAACATTGTTTTTTTTAACTCAGGAAACAAACTAAAAGGAAACATTGTTTCTTTTAGCTGGGGGGAAGTGACAGCTGATTCTCTGAGCTATAGTGAAGAGAAAAAAAAACCCGGCACTGACCTATAGCGACAAAAACTTTTTTTTTTCCGACCTCCGGAATGGATTAATTGGTTTGCAATGCATTCCTATGGGAAACCGCGTTTTGGTTTACAAATTTTTCGCAATACAAAACGTCCCGGAGAACGCATTAAATTCGTAAACTGAGGTACGCCTGTATACCAAGCAGGTGCTAATGATCATCAATTTCATAGGGAAGTTGAAACACAGTCATTGACTTAACCCCTTTGACGCCGACATCACATAAACATGCGGCCTCACAAAACTGGGCTTTTTTCTGTGGGAGTGCACCGCACATTGTATCATTATATACATTCCATTATACATTGTATCATTATATACATCCTATTATACATTGTATCATTATATACATCCTATTATACATTGTATCATTATATACATTCCATTATACATTGTATCGCTATATACATTCCATTATATATTGTATCATTATATACATCCTATTATACATTGTATCATTATATACATTCCATTATACATTGTATCATTATATACATTCCATTATACATTGTATCATTATATACATCCTATTATACATTGTATCATTATATACATCATATTATACATTGTATCATTATATACATCCTATTATACATTGCATCATTATATACATCCTATTATACATTGTATCATTATATACATTCTATTATACATTGTATCATTATATACATTTTAATACACATTGTATCATTATATACAGTTGCAAGAAAAAGTATGTGAACCCCTTGGGATTACGTGGAGTTTTGCATGAATTGGGCACAAAATGTGCTCTGAACGTCATCTAAGTCACAACAATAGAAGAGCACAGTCTGCTGAACATAATACTACACAAACATTAGATGTTGCCATGGTTTAATTGCGCATAACATGTAAACATTCACAGTGCAGGGAGGAAAAAGTATGTGAGGCCCTAGCTTAATGACTTCTCCCAGAGCTAATTGGAGCCAGGAGTGAGCCAACCTTGACTCCAATCAGTGTGATGATATTGGATGTGTTGCTGACAGCTGTCCTGCCCTTAAAAAACACACACCTGTTATGGGTTTACTGATTTCAAGAAGCACTGTCTGATGTGAACCATGCCTCGCAGAAAAGAGCTCTCAGAAGACCTGCGATCAAGAATTGTTGACTTGCATGAAGCTGCAAAGGGTTACAAAAGGATCTCCAAAAGCCTTGATGTTCATGTGTCCACGGTAAGACAGACTGTCTACAAATGGAGAAAGTTTAGCACTGTTGCTACTCTCCCTAGGCGTGGTCGTCCTGTAAAAATGACTGCAAGAGCACAGCGCAGAATGCTGCATGAGGTAAAGAAGAATCCCAGAGTGTCAGCTAAAGACCTACAGAAATCTCTGGCACATGCTAACATTTTTGTTGACACATCTACAATAAGGAAAACATGAAACAAGAATGGAGTACATGGGAGGACACCACGGAGGAAGCCATTGCTGTCCAAAAAGAATATTGCAGCACGTTTGAAGTTTGCAAAAGAGCACCTGGATGTTCCACAGCACTACTGGCAGAATATACTGTGGACAGATGAAACCAAGATTGAGTTGTTTGGGAAGAACACACAACACTATGTGTGGAGAAAAAAAGGCCCAGCACACCAACATCAAAACCTCATCCCCTCTGTAAAACATGGCGGAGGGAGCATCATGGTTTGGGGCTGCTTTGCTGCCTCAGGGCCTGGACGGATTGTTGTCATTGATGGGAAAAGGAATTCCAGAGTTTATCAAGACATTTTGCAGGAAAACGTACGACCATCTGTCCGCCAACTGAAGCTCCGCAGAGGATGGGTGATGCAACAGGACAATGACCCAAAGCATACAAGTAATTCAACAAAACAATGGCTGCAACAGCACAGAATACGCCTTCTGGAGTGGCCCAGTCAGAGTCCTGACCTCAACCCCATTGAATTGCTGTGGCATGACCTTAAGAGAGCGATTCACACCAGACATCCCAAGAATATTGCTACACTGAAACAGTTTTGTGAAGAAGAGTGGTCCAAAATGACTCCAGATCGTTGTGCAGGTCTGATCTGCAACTACAGGAAACGTTTGGTTGAGGTTATTGCTGCCAAAGGAGGGTCAACCAGTTATTAAGTCCAAAGGTTCACATACTTTTTCCTCCCTGCACTGTGAATGTTTACATGTTATGTGCAATTAAACCATGGCAACATCTAATGTTTGTGTAGTATTATGTTCAGCAGACTGTGTTCTTCTATTGTTGTGACTTAGATGACGTTCAGAGCACATTTTATGCCCAATTCATGCAAAACTCCACGTAATCCCAAGGGGTTCACATACTTTTTCTTGCAACTGTACATTCCATTATACATTGTATCATTATATACATTCTAATACACATTGTATCATTATATACATCCTATTATACATTGTATCATTATATACATCCTATTATACATTGTATCATTATATACATCCTATTACACATTGTATCATTATATACATCCTATTATACATTGTATCATTATATACATTCTATTATACATTGTATCATTATATACATCCTATTACACATTGTATCATTATATACATCCTATTATACATTGCATCATTATATACATCCTATTATACATTGTATCGTTATATACATTCTATTATACATTGTATCATTATATACATTCTAATACACATTGTATCATTATATACATTCCATTATACATTGTATCATTATATACATTCTAAAACACATTGTATCATTATATACATCCTATTATACATTGTATCATTATATACATCCTATTACACATTGTATCATTATATACATCCTATTACACATTGTATCATTATATACATCCTATTATACATTGTATCATTATATACATTCCATTATACATTGTATCGCTATATACATTCCATTATATATTGTATCATTATATACATCCTATTATACATTGTATCATTATATACATTCCATTATACATTGTATCATTATATGCATTCTATTATACATTGTATCATTATATACATCCTATTATACATTGTATCATTATATACATTTTAATACACATTGTATCATTATATACATTCCATTATACATTGTATCATTATATACATTCTAATACACATTGTATCATTATATACATTCCATTATACATTGTATCATTATATACATTCTAATACACATTGTATCATTATATACATCCTATTATACATTGTATCATTATATACATTCTATTATACATTGTATCATTATATACATCCTATTACACATTGTATCATTATATACATCCTATTATACATTGCATCATTATATACATCCTATTATACATTGTATCGTTATATACATTATATTATACATTGTATCATTATATACATTCTAATACACATTGTATCATTATATACATCCTATTATACATTGTATCATTATATACATCCTATTACACATTGTATCATTATATACATCCTATTACACATTGTATCATTATATACATCCTATTATACATTGTATCATTATATACATCCTATTATACATTGTATCATTATATACATCCTATTACACATTGTATCATTATATACATCCTATTATACATTGTATCATTATATACATCCTATTATACATTGTATCATTATATACATTCTATTATACATTGTATCATTATATACATCCTATTATACATTGTATTTCTCTACCTCCTGGCAGAGAGGGGAAAAAATGTTTGTTAAAAAATAAATAAATATTAAAAAAACAAACAAAAAAAACCCTAGATCAAGGTTTGATCTAGTTCAGTGCCAGGGTAAGTGTTTGGGTCAGGATTCTTTTTTTTTTTTTTTTTATTGGTATCAGTGTCAGTTAGTGTCAGTGTGTTTTAGGTTAAAAAATAAAATGCGCACTATTGTTTCTGGGCTGTACTACAGATACAAACAACAAATAACACCCACATATATGTTATCGCTGCGATCGTCAGGAGGTGGAGAATTTATTTTGGGTTGTTCTTTGGTGGTAGGTTATGGTAGTAACAAGAAACACACAGCTAAAAAAATGGGGGGTTTTCAATGTTTTGGGGCAGTTTTCCTTTGATAATAAAAAAAAAATCAGGAGATATCCATGACCATTCACCACCAAATGAAAGCCCAATTTGTCCTGAAATCAACGCGGTATAATCCGCCCGGATGTGCGAAGACGTTGTGATGATAGGCAGAGTTTTACCAACACAGGTCAACGTTGCAAAATTGTGCTTAGGCATTAATATTTGTTTTACCGTCAGGCGGGAAGGGGTTAAACGAAGCAGCTGTGTAGGAGGCCTAAATCTAAGGCTGGCCATACATGATACAATTTTCTTGAGAATTTCGCTTTAGATTTGCCAAAAACCATATAATAGGAGGTCAAACCTAAACAACAGTTTCAATTGTATCCAATTAGGCCGGCCCTTGCACTACATAGTTGAAGGCAGGGGCGGACTGACCATTTGGAAACTCGGGTACTGCCTGAGGGCCCGGGGTCAGTAGGGGGCCCCAAGAGATGCCCTTGGTACCTTTCATAGGCTTTTTTGGGTGTGATTTGAGTGTGGGTGAGGACACAGGGGCCCCATGATCCCCTATTGCCCGGGGGCCCCATGAGTTGTTAGTCTGCCCCTGGTTGAAGGTAAATTTAAAAAGAAACTGGGCAGAAATTGGACAGAAAATTGTATAGTGTATGGCCAGCCTTAGACTCAAGGTAACCAAGCGTTTAGATTAACCATCTCTTCTTACTCCTCCCCTTTGGTATAGCAAAGGAGGAGTCCTAAAACTGGGTGAGGAACAGCCAAACTCTGCTACTAAGGTGGGGTTGTGGAAGACACCGTGGCAAGACAAATCTGTCAGACATGCAAAGAACAAAAGTAACCAAAACACTGAATTGGAATAACATGGGCCACGGCCTGGTCTATTGATTTCAGGTACTTCTATAGCGCCATCAATTTACACAGAGCTTTGCATATATATTGTACATTCGCATCAGTCCCCGCCCCCGAGGAGCGTACACTCTAAGGTCCCTAACTCACATTCATGCATACACATACTAGGGCCAATTTAGACAGGAGCCAATTAGAGGTGGGAGGAATCCGGCGTACCTGGAGGAAATCCACGCAGGCACAGGGAGAACATGCAAACTCCAGGCAGGTGGTGCCGTGGTTAGGATTCAAACCAAGAACCCCAGTACTGCCAGGCGGGAGTGCTAACCTTTTAGCCGCTGTGCTGCCCCGATTATTGGTTAAAATGATCGTAACCATATCAAAATATAACTTTATTTAATCGAATATTAAAAATAAATGAACAACTCAGCCCAGCCGCTAAGACCCGAGCGAACCAAGCATTTGGATCCACCATCTTCTCGCACGTCGTCTTTGATATAGAAAACAAAGGGACCCACCACATAAATCGGTCACGATGGGGGGGGATGGGTGGGGAACTCCTCACGATGATCTCTCTTTGGTGACTGTGCCGGAACCCTTGTGACTGCCTCCTTAAATACTGATCCCCGAGTCTTTTAGAATTTTCTGAGGGGTCCTATGACCCCGACTTAGTTATCTTTAATCAACTCCCCAATATTCCAGAAGGTTCCCTTATCATGTGAACGTAATTGACCAATCAAAATCAATTACAATTGGGATTATTACACCACAACCGCTGTCCCATGAGGTAAAGGGGGGCCTATAAAAGCTTCTCCCCCTTTTCCAAACAAGGTAGTGATACTGTATCACAAAGGTCTCTCCCAGGCAAAGGTTTCTAAGCAGACTGGGATTTGTAAAGTGTGCTGTACAAGCTCTATGGAAGAGCCCCTGATGACATCACCTGCGACGAAACGCGTCGGTTGGAGCCGAAACACATGCCAATGCGCGAACCAGCCGTGGCCATCTTGGTTTTTGGCAAATGAACTGCTGTTGCAATGTGAAGTGCCTGCTCATTACCTGTCCATGTACCTTATTGAAACGGCATGCTCTATCGCAGGGGTACTGAATTAAAATTCACCGAGGTCCGGCTGGTAACATTTTCTTTCTGCAGAGGTCCAAATCTCATTTCTCTTCTATTACTCAGGTCTTTCACATCACAGTCCCCTTTACATTAGTGTCCTCAGTCCCCCCTTTCCCATCACAGCCCCCCATACATCATAACTCCCTTTCACATCAGAGCCCCCCTTGCATTATAGCCTTGCTCACATCACAGCCCCCCTTTCACATCACAGTCTTTCATTGACAGCATAGTCCCCCTTGAAATCACGACCCCCCCACATCACAGCTCCCTCTACTGATATCACAGACCCTTCATATCACAGCTCTCCTCACATCACAGCGCCCCATATCACAGCTCTCCTCAAATCACAGCCCCCCAGTATTACAGCTCCCCCTCTCTCCCATCACAGCCCCCCATTTCACAGCTCCCCCCCTCTCACTTCACAGCCCCCATATCACGGATCCCCCCTCTCACAGCCCCCCCCCATTTCACAGCTCCCCCTCTCACTTCACAGTCCCTCCATATCACAGCTCCCCCTCTAACATCACAGTTCCCCCATATCACAGCGCTTCTCACATCACAGACCCCAGTATTACAGCTCCCCCTCTCCCATCACAGCCCCCCATTTCACAGCTCCCCCCCCTCTCACTTCACAGCCCCCATATCACGGATCCCCCCTCTCACAGCCCCCCCCCCCCATTTCACAGCTCCCCCTCTCACTTCACAGTCCCTCCATATCACAGCTCCCTCCTCTAACAGCCCCTCCATATCACAGTTCCCCCATATCACAGCGCTTCTCACATCACAGACCCCAGTATTACAGCTCTCCCTCTCACATCACAACCCCCCCATCACAGCCCCCCATTTCACAGCTCCCCCCCTTTAACTTCACAGCCCCCCATATCACAGATCCCCCATTTCACAGCTCCCCCCTCTCACTTCACAGCCCCCCCCCCATATCACAGCCCCCCTCTCACTTCACAGCCTCCCATATCACAGCTTCCCCTCTAACATCACAGTTTCCCCCATATCACAGCTCTCCTTCTTAACTCACAGCCCCCCAGTATTACAGTATCACAGCCCCCCCTCTCACTTCACAGCCCCCCATATCACAGCTCCCCCTTTCACTTCATAGCCCCCCTCACTTCACAGCCCCCCATATCACAGCTCCCCCTTTCACTTCATAGCCCCCCTCACTTCACAGCCCCCCATATCACCGCTCCCCCCTCTAACAGCCCCCCATATCACAGCTCCCCACTCTCACTTCACAGCTCCCCCATATCACAGCTTCCCCCTCTCCCGGCCCCCCATTTCACACCCCCCCACATCACAGCTCCCCCACATCACAGCTCCCCCCTCTACCCCATAATCTTCCCCATAATAATAATAAATAATACCTTAACTCAGCACTGTGGAGGGCGGGAGGAATGGCGGGTGGACTGTTCTGTATGTATTCACCTGCCGCCGCCGTCATCACCACTGTGGTTGGAAGTCACAGCAGGGAGGAGGGCGGGAGGAATGGAAGGAAGAACTCCTCTTCTGAATGTACCGGCTTGCTGCCGCTGAACTCAGAGCAGGGATGGTGGGAGGCACATGAAGTTTTCCACTGAGGGCGGGAGCTGCCTAACTCTTCCTGTTACAAAGTGAGTGACCCACATGAATGATTGACTTCCCTTCCCTGCTCCCCCTGTAGACCTGCAATGTCTCCTGCCCTCCTCCCTGCTCTGAGTTCAGTGGCGGCAAGAGAGGAGTCCTTCCTTCCATTCCTCCCGCCCTCCTCCCTGCTGTGACTTCAATGGCAGCGGAAACGGCATCAGCGGCAGAAGAGTACATACAGAACAGGAGTCCACCCTGCCATTCCTCCCAATTCCTCCCCTTCAGACCTGCACAGGTGTACTGGCTCCTCCTCTCAAGACTTGCACTGGTGTACCAGCTCCTCCCCTTCAGTCTTGGACAGGTGTACTGGCTCCTCCCCATCTGTCTTGCACAGGTGGACCAGCTCCTCCCCTTCAGTCTTGCACAGGTGTACCGACTCCTCCCCTTAAGTCTTGCACAGGTGTACTGGCTCCTCCCCTCAAGACTTGCACAGGTGTACCAGCTCCTCCCCTTCAGTCTTGGACAGGTGTACTGGCTCCTCCCCATCGGTCTTGCACATGTGTACCGGCTCCTCCCCTTCAGTCTTTCACAGGTGTATTGGCTCCTCCCCTTCAGTCTTTCACAGGTGTACTGGCTCCTCCCCTTCAGTCTTGCACAGGTGTACTGGCTCCTCCCCTGGGCTGAAATGGCTTCCTCTGATGTCACTGCACACTGGGAGCCTCTCACAATGTTCATTAGAAGCTTCAGCCAGTCAGACAGAGCTCCGCCTCCTTTCCTGGCTGGAGGATATCCTGCCTCATCCAATGATGGGGCACTATTCTTCACAGCTATACCAACAATGGGGTACTGTTCCTCCCACTGACACCAATGATGGGGCACTATTCCTCCCACTGACACCAATGATGGGGTACTGTTCCTCCCACTGACACCAATGATGGGGCACTATTCCTCCCACTGATACCAATGATGGGACACTATTCCTCCCACTGATACCAATGATGGGGCACTATTCCTCCCACTGACACCAATGATGGGGCACTATTCCTCCCACTGATACCAATGATGGGGTGCTATTCCTCCCACTGACACCAATGATGGGGCGCTATTCCTCCCACTGACACCAATGATGGGGCGCTATTCCTCCCACTGACACCAGTGATGGGGCACTATTCCTCCCACTGACACCAATGATGGGGCACTATTCCTCCCACTGACACCAATGAGGGGGCACTATTCCTCCCACTGACACCAATGATGGGGCGCTATTCCTCCCACTGACACCAATGATGGGGCACTATTCCTCCCACTGACACCAATGATGGAGCACTATTCCTCCCACTGACACCAATGATGGGGCACTATTCCTCCCACTGACACCAATGATGGGGCACTATTCCTCCTACTGACACCAATGATGGGGCACTATTCCTCCCACTGACACCAATGATGGGGCACTATTCCTCCCACTGACACCAATGATGGGGCACTATTCCCCCCACTGACACCAATGATGTAACATTGTTTACTCCCACAGATTCCAGAGCATTTTCTACTTCCACTGGCCACAGTCCGGCCCCTCTAAAGTCTGAAGAACAGTAAACTGGCCCTTTGCGTAGAAAGTTTATAGACCCCCTGTTCTAGACAAATCAGAAGTCACATGTAGCTGACATGAAAGTGTAATTAAAGGGTAACTCCGCGTTTGATGAGAAAAGCCCCTCCCCCCTCGGGTGCTCTATCTGCAGATTTCCAACCCTCTGCAGAAATCTGTTTGTTTCTCCGTGTCCTGTGCTGAGTGAATGTGAATGGGAGCGACTTCATCATCATCAATCAGCTGCTGCACCTGCAGGACTCTGAGGAAAGTGGCGGGGTCTGCATCCCTTTACACGTGATTTCCCTTTGGGAGTATCTCACCAAAAATGACATTTTTGTTGCAGGGAATAGAAGAAAAGAAGGAGCACCCAATGTCCAAGAGAATGCACTTTTGATGGTAGATTAGGAGGTATTTGTTGAGAGTAACAAGTACATCAGGGCAACGCGTTTCGGGAGAAAAGACTCTCCCACCTTCAGGGCTATTAACCACTTCCCGACCGGCTGTTGTATATAAACGGCCGGACGGTGGCAGTGCAGGGTCGGGTGGCCGTCTATAAACGGCCTCCCCGCACCCTGCTTGTGCGCGCTCCCTGGGAGTGCGCAGCACCGCGATCCGGTGCCCGCTGTGTCCTCCGGACACAGTGAAACACCGATCGTCGGACGGGACCTCTGTACGAGGTCCCGATCATGTGATCACTGATTGGCCAATCAGTGATCACATGCAAAGTAGTAAGCAAGATGTCACTTCTGACATCATTGCTTACTATGTGTGAAATCTGTGAATGATCACAGAGATCACATGGTACAGGGCTATTCACAAAAGCCTTGTACCATGTGGCAAGCTGTGACCAATCACAGCTCACTCAGTTCTTCTCAATGAGTGCAAGAATGCAGACAGAGAGAAGGAGAAATGATTGCTTTTACATCCTATATGGGTGTAAAAGCAATCAGTGTAAAAAAAAAAAAAAATCTTCATCACCCCTCACAAGTAGTACAGTGTCACCATGGTGACACTGTACTGCTAGGGTGACAGTATGTAAAAAAATAAAAATAAAAAATAATAATATAAAAAAATAAAATAAAAATGTAAAAAAAAATGTTTAAAAATTATAATTTTTGCTAATAAACTAATTTGGATTTTTTTTTTTTGTTTACTAAAAAGATAACGGAATAAATTTTGGCTAAGATTTATGATGAAATATTATTTATTTGCAAAATTTTATTAAAAAAACACTTTTTTTCAAAATTTTTGGACATTTCATTTACATAGCAAAAAAAATACAAATCCCAGTGGTGAATAAATACCACCAAAATAAAGCTTTATCTATCTCAAAAAAATGGTAAAAAATTCATTTGGGTACAGTGTTGCATGACCGCGCAATTGTCATTCAAAGTGTGATAGCGCTAAAAGCTGAAAATTGCCCTGGTCAGGAAGGGGGTAAAAGTGTCCGGACTGGAAGGGGGTGAAAGTGTCTGGACTGGAAGGGGGTAAAAGTGTCCGGACTGGAAGGGGGGGAAAGTGTCCGGACTGGAAGGGGGTGAAAGTGTCCAGACTGGAAGGGGGGGAAAGTGTCCGGACTGGAAGTGGTTTAAACAAATATAAAAAATATACAGAGAAAAAAAAAACATATAAGTATACATATATTAAAAAATGTGAACATTGTGCCGATTATGTAAAGGCAAAAATACCTCGGTAAAATAATGTCTTAAAATTGAAAAAAAAAAATACAAAAAATAAATATATATATATATACAAATTAAAGAAAAATACATGTAAAACAAGAGTTCCTGATCATGGTCAAAATAATCAGAATAGAAACAATCAAAATAGATTAGAAATAGAAATAAAATCAATATATGTATACAGTACATTTAATAAAATATGTAAACATTATGCCGATTACAGAAAAGCAAAAATGCGTCAGTACAATATGTCGTAAAATTGCAAAAAAAAAAAAAAGAAAGAAAGAAAGAAAAAAAAAAATATATATATATAGTTTTAGAAAAATATAAGTAAACCAAGAGTTCCTGATCAGGGTCAAAATAATCAGAATAGAAATAATCAAAATATAAATAAATCAATATATGGATACATATATTAAAAAATGTGATTATGCCAATTATGTAAAGGCAAAAATGTCTCGGTAAAATATGTCTTAACATTGCAAAGAAAAAGAAAAAAAAAATCATATATATATATATATATATATATATAAATTACAGAAAAATATATGTAAATCAAGAGTTCCTGATCATGGTCAAAATATTCAGAATGGAAATAATGAAAATAGAAATAAAATCAATAGCAATGATAATAATAGCGATAGTAATTGTAATCATTGAGCTGAGAGGGAATCTGCAAATAAACCCGATAAAAATAAAATAAAATAATATAAAGTAAAATAAAATAAATTAAAGTAAAATAAAATAAAATATAAAGTAAAATAAAATAAAATATAAAGTAAAATAAAATAAATTAAAGTAAAATAAAATAAAATATAAAGTAAAATAAAATAAATTAAAGTAAAATAAAATAAAATAAATTAAAGCAAAATAAAATAATATAAAGTAAAATAAAATAAAATACAGTACAATACAATAAAATAAAATAAAATATACTTTTGTTGCAGGGGATACCTAAAATCTGACTTGTGCAGACTTCTGGGGAAATCAGTGATCCAATCACACAAGCAGGAAATGACATTTCTGGGGGCATGGGCACTCTGTACCCCATCTTTGTACAGAGCGCCTCCAGGCGGCCATATTGCAGTTTGCAGAAAATTACAGATTAAAAAGGAAAGGTCATTTTTAATAACATTCAATTACAAAATGACGTGTCGCAATTGCATACGCTGTTTTTATTTTTTATATATATTATTTTTTTTTCTTACGAAAGTGGAGTCAGCCTTTAAGGCAAAGCTTTACAATCAATCTTTTTTTTTTTTTCTTTAATGTTTTTATTCATTGTAACCTCGAGGAAGCCGGGAGTCTCCCCGTGTATATGTATTACCGTCTAATCCATTCCGAAACGTCTAATTAAAGTCGAATCTTTATGTATTTTTGTAGGAGCTGACAAGGCTTCTCTGGCCTGAGGGTGCCTAGGCACGGCCGACAGCGCGGTCACCGGCTCTAATTCCCAATGACAAGTTTATATAAAATCTGATGATTGAATCCCGCGTCGGTTTGTTCCTCCAGATGTGAGAAGAGCCAGCCGGGTCATTTCAACAAAAAAAAAAAAAAAAGTCGAGCGGCAGAGCGGGAGGGAAATGCTGAAAAATGAAGTAAATTCCGCACACTTCACTCTTGTTTCTCCTGGTGGTGGCCGGGCTGACAGCCTGTGATGGGGTCAGACTTCGGGACGGCGGGATTGTTTATTTTCACTTGCAGCAAGTCCTGTCAAATTCAACTTGTAGATGTCAATGAAAAAAAAAATATCTTAAAAGATTATCGGGCGTGTGAGTATAGGAGGACTGAAATCCGAGAATCGCCTAATTAAACAAAAAAAAAATCGCAAATTCAAAAAATGGCTGATTCGCCTCGTCTGAAAACCCATCACTATTATTAAAGCGAATGTAAGTGTGCGCAGCCTAGTACACCGGGGTGTGCGCCCCAAATATCAAACATACATGTGGGTGTGTGTGTATATATATATAAATATACAGGTGAAACTCAAAAAATGAGAATATGGTGCAAAAGTTGATTTATTTCAGTGCAGCAACTTAAAAGGTGAAACTAATATATGAGACTCATTACATGCAAAGCAAGATAGTTCCAGCCGTGATTTGTCATCATTGTGATGATTATGGCTTACAGCTCATGAAAACCCCAAATCCACAATCTCAGAAAATGAGAATATTGTGAAAAGGTGGAATAATCTCGGCTCAAAGTGTCCCACTCTAATCAGCTCATTCAGCCATAACACCTGCAAAGGGTTCCTGAGCCTTTAAATGGTCTCTCAGTCCGGTTCAGTAGGAATCACAATCATGGGAAAGACTGCTGACCTGACACCATCACTGACACCCTCCATAAGGAGGGAAAGCCTCAAAAGGAATTGCAGAAGAAGTTGGATGTTCCCAAAGTGCTGTATCAAAGCACATTAATAGAAAGTTATGTGGAAGGGAAAAGTGTGGAAGAAAAAGGTGCACAAGCAGCAGGGATGACCGCAGCCTGGAGAGGATTGTCAGGAAAAGGCCATTCAAAAGTGTTGGGGACTTTCCAAGGAGTGGACTGAGGCTGGAGTCAGTGCATCAAGAGCCACCACACACAGACGGATCCTGGACATGGGCTTCAAATGTCGTATTCCTCTTGTCAAGCCGTTCCTGAACAACAAACAATGTCAGAAGCGTCTTACCTGGGCTAAAGAAAAACAGACCTGGTCTGGTGCTCAGTGGTCCAAAGTCCTCTTTTCTGATGAGAGCAACTTTTGCATCTCATTTGGAAACCAAGGACCCCAAGTATGGAGGAAGAATGGAGAGGCCCAAGGACCCCGAGTATGGAGGGAATGGAGAGGCCCAAGGACCCCGAGTATGGAGGAAGAATGGAGAGGCCCAAGGACCCCGAGTATGGAGGAAGAATGGAGAGGCACAAGGAGCCCGAGTATGGAGGAAGAATGGAGAGGCCCAAGGACCCCGAGTACGGAGGAAGAATGGAGAGGCCCAAGGACCCCGAGTATGGAGGAAGAATGGAGAGGCCCAAGGACCCCGAGTACGGAGGAAGAATGGAGAGGCCCAAGGACCCCCGAGTATGGAGAAGAATGGAGAGGCCCAAGGACCTGGAGTATGGAGGAAGAATGGAGAGGCACAAGGACCCCGAGTATGGAGGAAGAATGGAGAGGCCCAAGACCCCAAATGGAGGAAGAATGGAGAGGCCCAAGGACCCCAAGTATGGAGGAAGAATGGAGAGGCCCAAGGACCCCGAGAATGGAGGGAGAACGGAGAGGCCCAAGGACCCCGAGTATGGAGAAATGGAGAGGCCCAAGGACCCCGAGTATGGAGGAAGAATGGAGAGGCCCAAGGACCCCGAGTATGGAGGAAGAATGGAGAGGCCCAAGGACCCCAAGTATGGAGGAAGAATGGAGAGGCCCAAGGACCCCGAGTATGGAGGAAGAATGGAGAGGCACACACTGCAAGATGCTTCAAGTCCAGTGTGAAGTTTCCACAGTCTGTGTTGATTTGGGGAGCCATGTCATCTGCTGGTGTTGGTCCACTGTGCTTCATTAAGTCCAGGGTCAACGCAGCCGTCTACCAGGAGATTTTGGAGCACTTCATGCTTCCTTCCACAGACAAGCTTTATGGGGATGCTGACTTCATTTTCCAGCAGGACTTGGCTCCGCCCACACTGCCAAAAGCACCAAAACCTGGTTCAATGACTGTGGGATTACTGTGCTTGATTGGCCAGCAAACTCGCCTGACCTGAACCCCATAGAGAATCTATGGGGCATTGCCAAGAGAAAGATGAGAGACATGAGACCGAACAATGCAGAAGAGCTGAAGGCCGCTATTGAAGCATCCTGGTCTTCCATAACACCTCAGCAGTGCCACAGGCTGATAGCTTCCATGCCGCGCCGCATTGAGGCAGTAATTGCTGCAAAAGGGCCCCAAACCAAGTACTGAGTACATATGCAGCTTCTACTTTTCAGAGGTGCGATATTGTTCTATGTACAATCCGTGTTTTATTGATTGCATGGAATATTCTCATTTTCTGAGATTGTGGATTTGGGGTTTCACCTTTTAAGTTGCTGCACTGAAATAAATGAACTTTTACACCATATTCTCATTTTTCAAGTTTCACCTGTATATATATATATACTGCATAATGTAAAAAAAATTGTGAATTTTTTTTTATTTCTTCACTTTCCAAAAAATTATGGAAAAAAATTACAACTTCAAAAACTCGCCATACTTCTTACTAAATGCCTCAAAGTGTCTACTTTCCAAAAAGGGGTAATTTGGAGGGATTTGTACTGTCCTGACATTTGGGGGGGATTTGTGCTCTCCTGACATTTGGGAGGATTTGTACCGTCCTGACATTTGGGGGGGATTTGTGCTCTCCTGACATTTGGGGGGATTTGTACCGTCCTGACATTTGGGGGGTTTGTGCTGTCCTGACATTTGGGGGGTATTTGTACTGTCCTGACATTTTGGGGGGATTTGTACTGTCCTGACATTTGGGGGGATTTGTGCCGTCCTGACATTTGGGGGGTATTTGTACCGTCCTGACATTTGGGGGGATTTGTGCCGTCCTGACATTTGGGGGGTATTTGTACCGTCCTGACATTTGGGGGGATTTGTACCGTCCTGACATTTGGGGGGGATTTGTACCAGCCTGACATTTGGGGGTATTTGTGCTGTCCTGACATTTGGGGGGTATTTGTACTCTCCTGACATTTGGGGGGATTTGTACTGTCCTGACATTTGGGGGGTATTTGTACTCTCCTGACATTTGGGGGGGGATTTTTACCGTCCTGACATTTGGGGGGATTTGTACCGTCCTGACATTTGGGGGGATTTGTACCATCCTTACATTAGGGGGGATTCTGTACTGTCCTGAAATTTTTGGGCCTCAATGTTAAAAGAAACAATCTCTGAGGGGGAAAAAAAACAGAAAAAAACACACAGAGATATAGAGATAAGACAGAGCAAAAGCAAAGATTGGGGGGGGGGGGGTGCTTTGGGTCAACACTCACAGAGGGGGGCATAAAACTGTTGGATAATGAGTGAGGAGTTCCATGTCTGAACTAAGGCCGTTGTCTTTTGTATCAAATAGAAATATCATTCTGAGTTCAAAAGTTTTCCTTTCCTGGATAGTTTTGAAATTTCCTTTAAGAACTGAGACATTGAGGTCTGCCATTGTGCGGTCTGGTTGTGCGAAATGGTGTCCCTCAGGTGTGCAGAAGTCATCTTCTTTATGTTCCTGGATGGTATGTCATAAAACTGTTGGATAATGAGTGAGGAATCCCATGTAGCAAAGGATCTCAGGTTGGTGAAACAGGACAGAAGTTGTGAAGAAGAATGAATTTGCAAGTGAACTAATTATTATTATTATTATTATACCGGATTTATGGCGCCAACACTTTGCTCAGCACTTTACAATATAACGGGAGACAATACAGCAACAATACAGTTCAATACAAGAGGGAAAGGAGGGCCTGATCCTTGGAGCTTACAATTTAGGAGGGAGGGGCTAGTGGTACAAAAGGTAGTAACTGTGGGGGATGGACTGGTAGGAGGAATAGAAGATTCCATCATTAGCTGAGGGCAGGATAGGCTTCCCTGAAGAGATCGGTTTTCAGAGATCGCCTAAAAGTGAGCAGAGTAGGCGATAGTCTGATAAATTGGGGTAGAGAGTTCCAGAGGATGGGGGAAGCTCTGGAGAAGTCCTGGAGACGAGCATGGGAGGAGGAGACAAGGGAGCTAGAGAGCAGGAGGTCTTGCGAGGAGCGGAGAGGACGGTTTGGGTGATATTTAGAGACAAGATTGGAGATGTAATTTGGGGTGGAGTTATAAATGGCTTTATATGTTATTGTTAATGTTTTGAATTTTATCCGTTGGGCAATGGGAAGCCAGTGGAGGGATTGGCAGAGAGGGGTGGAGGACACTGAGTGGAGGACAGTGGAGGGATTGGCAGAGAGGGGCAGAGGACACTGAGTGGAGGCCAGTGGAGGGATTGGCAGAGAGTGGTGGAGGACACTGAATGGAGGTCAGTGGAGGGATTGGCAGAGAGGGGTGGAGGTCAGTGGAGGGATTGGCAGAGAGGGGTGGAGGACACTGAGTGGAGGTTAGTGGAGGGATTGGCAAAGAGGGGTGGAGGACAGTGAATGGAGGCCAGTGGAGTGATTGGCAGAGAGGGGTGGAGGACACTGAGTGGAGGCTGTTGGGATTGGCAGAGAGGGGTGGCAGATACAGAACGGTTAGTAAGGTGGATGAGTCTGGCAGCAGCATTCATGATAGACTGGGGTGGGGATAGCCTGCGATGAGGTCGGCCAATGAGGAGGGAGTTACAATAGTCAAGGCGAGAGATAACAAGGGAGTGAATAATACGGCTACAATCACCCCAAGCAACAGCAACATGTGTGCAAAAAAAATTTTAAAAATTGCTCGGAATTGATTTCACAGGCATGCTCAGACTGACTCTTTGCATAAACTTCATGTAATTGTCAATAAAAGCCTTGGACACATATGAAATGTTTGTCATTATACCTCGATATACCAGAGGAACATCTGACAAAAAGATCTAAAACACTGAAGCAGACTTGGTGAAAATTAATCTTTGTATCGTTCTCAAAACTTTTGGCCAGAGCTGCCATGGATTGGCGCCAGGAAAGGAAAAGTGCGGTAAGTATTTGATACAATTTTCCATTTTGCTAATGGAATGGGATAGAACTGAGGTTTTCATTACTATCTGTGTCCCTCTTATGGAGCTTCGGGCTCTTTATTTGTCCCGATGACCGTTGTCCTGTTATTAAGATGGCACCATTTATTGGATCATCAAGAGCTTCAAGGAGAGAGGTTCAATTGTTAAGAAGATGGCTTCATGGTGCCCAACAAAGTCCAGCCAGCGCCAGGACCATCTTCTAAAATTGATAGGATTGGGGCACCACCAGTGCAGAGCTACCTCAGGAATGGCAGCAAGCAGGTGTGAGGTCAAGACGTTTGGAAGATGGCCTGGTGTCAAGAAGGGCACAAAGAAGCCACTTCTCTCCAAGAAAAAACATCCGGGACAGACTGACATTTTGAAAACTTTTGGCCAGAGCTGTGAGCTGCCATGGACTGGCGCCAGGAAAGGAAAAGTGCGGTAAGTATTTGATACAATTTTCCATTTTGGTAATGGAATGGGATAGAACTGAGGTTTTCATTACTATCTGTGTCCCTCTTATGGAGCTTCGGGCTCTTTATTTGTCCCGATGACCGTTGTCCTGCTATTAAGATGGCACCATTTATTGGATTATCAAGAGCTTCAAGGAGAGAGGTTCAACTGTTAAGAAGAAGGCTTCATGGTGCCTAAGAAAGTCCAGCCATCGCCAGGACCATCTCCTAAAATTGATAGGATTTGGGCACCACCAGTGCAGAGCTACCTCAGGAATGGCAGCAAGCAGGTGTTGATGCATCGACACGCACAGTGAGGTCAAGACATTTGGAAGATGGCCTGGTGTCAAGAAGGGCAGCAAAGAAGCCACTTCTCTCCAAGAAAAACATCCGGCACAGACTGACATTTTGAAAATTTTGGCCAGAGCTGTGATCTGCCGTGGATTGACACCAGGAAAGTACAAGTACGGTAAGTATTTGATTCAATTTTCCATTTCTTTAATGGAATGGGATAGAACTGAGGTTTTCATTACTATCTGTGTCCCTCTTATGGAGCTTCGGGCTCTTTATTTGTCCCGATGACCGTTGTCCTGCTATTAAGATTGCACCATTTATTGGATTATCAAGAGCTTCAAGGAGAGAGGTTCAACTGTTAAGAAGAAGGCTTCAGGGTGCCCAAGAAAGTCCAGCCATCACCAGGACCATCTCCTAAAATTGATAGGATCGGGGCACCACCAGTGCAGAGCTAGCTCAAGAATGGCAGCAGGCAGGTGTGAGGTCAAGACGTTTGGAAGATGGCCTGGTGTCAAGAAGGGCAGCAAAGAAGCCACTTCTCTCCAAGAAAAACATCCGGGACAGACTGACATTTTGAAAATTTTTGGCCAGAGCTTTGATCTGCCATGGATTGACACCAGGACAGGAAAAGTACTGTCAGGAATGGACTCACCAATAGTGGTGGGACGTACCTGCCTTGTGGGCTGCAGTACCGGGGCTGGCCAGCGGGTGGGTGCTCTCGGCAACCAGAGTCTCACTCCTGCAATGAGCCATCATCTGAAGCTGATTACACAGGTGTATTTAAGGAATGGCCAGGCCTATGTTCAGGGTCTTGGTGTATGTTTCCCATGTGCCCTGTATCCTGTCTCCTGCCTGTCTTCTGTTGCCGACCTCTGCATTGTTCCTGATTCTGCTGACCGTCTCCTGTTAACCCCTGGCTTGCCTGACCATCCTATTGCCTGCTTCTCTGTACTGTGCTGCCTGTGAGTTTCTGAACCCAGCTTATGACCCTGACCATTCTTCCGCCTGCTCCTGGTACCCCGTTTGCTACCGACCCGGCCTGCCCGACTACTCTTTGTATTGTATGTATTGTTATCTGTGGGAGGTTTGGTTTGGGTTGTTTGCACTGTGTTATGTTTAGTTTTACACTGCGTTTTGTATTGTAGTCTTAATAAATTATATTGTTTACTATATCTGAAGCCTGCGTTTCCCTGTGTCAGTCCACACACTTCTGGTCATACCTAGAATCCTGACAAGTACGGTAGGTATTTGATACAATTTTCCATTTCTTTAATGGAATGGGATAGAACTGAGGTTTTCATTACTATCTGTGTCCCTCTTATGGAGCTTCAGGCTCTTTATTTGTCCCGATGACCGTTGTCCTCCAGACCAAAAGCCAAACCATTGGCTCTCGGAAAATTGGGAGCTTTGCCTTTGGAATTGCATGTGGCATTTAGGTATTTCACAGGTCAGTGTTGATTTTTCTTTTCCCTCGGCGGGCTCTGTTCTCCGTAGCCGGTTCCCTTTTTTTTTCTTTTCTCAGGGCCCTGAAAGCAGATTGTGTTCTGCAACGGCATTTAACCAAAACCTGCTGCAACATAATGGAGGAATTAGTGCCACCTGCTCTCTATTAACGCAGAAACAGCTGAGCAACAAAAGTTTATGGAGCACAACTGAGACTCCTGAAACTGTGTTACCTGCGGTTATACGACCCCCCAGACGCGGTTTGTGGAGTGCGCGGGATTGGAAACGGTTGGGCAGCAGAGGGAGGGAGGGGGGGGGGTTCTGTGTGTACAGGGCGAGTTCGGAGGTGTGACCGGCGGTGGAATTAAACTGTTATAAAGTGACAGACAGACATCAGTTCTGTTTTATGGCTTACAAATGTTCATCATATTACCGCTGCGATGTGGATGTCTAAAGGAGAATGTTAGACGGTATGAAAGCAAAAAAACACCAAAAAAGAAAAAAAATTAAAAAAAAAATAAAGACGTGAATGTAAATGTCATGAAAACAAAATTTGTGTGTTTTAGACATATTTTTGTTGCCTTTGTTCTTTTTTTTGTTGTGAAAGTCGCAGAAATACCCGGTGATCCTGACAGTCTACTTCTGCCCCAGCAGAAGACATGAAGGTGCAATACAGATTGCCAGGGTCAACCCATTCATTTGGTGAGGAACCCCAACACGCTAAGGTCATGCAGATCCAACGCACATGAGTTGCAACGCACCCACAATGCATGGTAACAAAACTACCGCACATGGTGATTATTATTATACAGTATTTATAAAGCGCCAATAGTTCGCTCAGCGCTGTACATTACTAAGGGGGACAGAACATGTGACAGAACAATACCAATACAATGCGATACATGAGGGGATCGAGGGCCCTGCTCTTTGGAGCTTACAATCTAGGAGGGAGGGGAGACTGGTACAGGAGGAGATAGCTGTGGGGGATGGAGTGGTAGGAAGAGTGGAGGAGGTGGGCAAGTTAGCAGGGGGTGGTGTAGGCTTCACTGAAGAGATGGGTTTTCAGGGTGAGTCTAAAGGAGAGGAGAGTAGGTGATAGTCTGATGGATTGGGGTAGGGAGTTCCAGCGTATGGGTGATGCCCTGGAGAAGTCCTAGAGGCGGGCATGGGAGGAGGAGACTAGGGAACTAGAGAGAAGGAGGTCTTGTGAGGAGCGTGTGTGTGTGTTGGGTGGTACTTGGATATTAGGTCAGTGATGTAGTGCGGGGCAGTATGGTGGACGGCTTTGCACGTCAGCGTTAGGATTTTGATTTTGATCCGTTGGGCAATCAGAAGCCAGTGGAGGGATTGGCAGAGGGGGGTGGAGGACACTGAGTGGAGGCCAGTGGAGGGATTGGCAGAGAGGGGTGGCGGACACTGAGTGGAGGCCAGTGGAGGGATTGGCAGAGGGGGGTGGAGGACACTGAGTGGAGGCCAGTGGAGGGATTGGCAGAGGGGGGTGGCGGACACTGAGTGGAGGCCAGTGGAGGGATTGGCAGAGAGCGGTGGAGGATACTGAGTGGAGGCCAGTGGAGGGATTGGCAGAGGGGGGTGGAGGACACTGAGTGGAGGCCAGTGGAGGGATTGGCAGAGGGGGGTGGAGGACACTGAGTGGAGGCCAGTGGAGGGATTGGCAGAGGGGGGTGGAGGACACTGAGTGGAGGCCAGTGGAAGGATTGGCAGAGGGGGGTGGCGGAGACGGAGCGGTTGGAAAGGTGAATGAGTCTGGCAGCCGTATTCAGGATGGACTGAAGCGGGGATAGCCAGCGGCGAGGCAGGCCAGTCAGGAGGGAGTTGCAGTAGTCGAGTCGTGATATGATGAGGGAGTGAGTGGATGAGCTGTTTAGTGGTTTCTGGGGTTAGGAACGTGCGGATTTTGGCGATGTTGCGGAGGTGGAGTCTGCATGTTGCGGAGGTGGAGTCTGCATGTTGCGGAGGTGGAGTCTGCATGTTGCGGAGGCGGAGTCTGCATGTTGCGGAGGTGGAGTCTGCACGAGTTTGTTAAAGATTGGACTTGGGCTGGAAGGATAGGTTGGAGTCCAGAATGACACCAAGTACTCTGGCCTGCGGGGCGGGTTTGATGGTGGCGTTGTTGGACGTGATGGTGATGCACCGCATTGCCCAAAGTGGTGTATGTCCTTTTATTGGGGGCTACTTCAACGCAATGCACATTAAAGCGCAAAAAATAGTGTGTCAATGCACTGTGTTACTGCACCGCACGCTGGAAAAGTGTGAACCCAACCTTTATTATTATTATTATACAGGATTTATATAGCACCAACAGTTTTTTAAAAATATATATTTTTAAAATATATTCTTCAGATTTTTTTAACATATAAAAAAGTCAGTTTAACATATATTTGTAAATGCATTCCAAAAATGTAGATTAAATATATTTTTAAAGGCATACAGTATGTTTGAAATTTATTTTTAAAAATATTTTTTGTATATTT